TTAAAGATAAACAGAGAACCTTAAAAGCAGCAAGTTACCTAGAGGAAATCCCCATAAGACTGTCAGCAGATTTCTCAAAAGAAACTTTGCAGGCAAGAAAGGACTGGCAAGAAATATTCAAAGTCATGACAAGTAGGGACCTGGGTAGATTGCTCTATCCAGCAAAGATATCATTTAGAATCAAAAGAAAGAAAAAGAGCTTCCCAGACAAGAAAAACTAAAGGAGTTCATCATCACCAAACCATTATTATAAGAAATGTTAAAGGGACTTATTTAAGATGACAAAGATCAAAATTATGAACAATAAAATGGCAATAAATACATGCCTGTTGACAATTGAATAAAAAAACAAACAAACTAAGCAAACAAGAAGAACAGAGACAGAATCATGGGTAGAGAGAGCATTTTGATGGTTGCCAGATGGGAAGAGAGTGTGGGGGAATAGGTGAAGAGGTGAGGGGATTAAGAAGTACAAATAGGTGGTTACAGAATAGCCATGGGGATGTAAAGTACAGTATGGAAAATAGCCAAAGAACTTATATGCATGACCCATGGACATGAACAATGGTGTGGGAATTGCCTGAGGGAGTGGTGGGTGCTGGGTGGAAGGGAGCAAAGGGGGAAAAACTGGCACAACTGTAATAGCATAATCAATACAAAATGCTACTTTATTAAATTCTAGCATTGGCAGTGAGGGGGAGGCACAACTACATAGTTTGAAGATCTTCATATTATTTAAACAATAGCCTGAAATCATAAATCACTTGCATATTTATTATTTGAATGCCATTGCTATTATGAAATTCCTTCATTCCATGAGAATATTTCATCTACCAGATTGGATGTATCTTAATTTCCTTTGTACACTCTACCTTCAGGAGTACTGGTAAACTTCTCCCTCAGAAGCTTCATGCTCTGGATGACCAATAAGAATGTTAAGTAAGAATGCTTAGTTAGTCACTCTTGTAGCATGTTCTGCCCTGAAATTATCCTGTCCAAATAACGGTTTTGTTTCCTGACAATTTGACATATTCATTATAAAGGAAATATCAGTTTATGTCCTATTTGCATTGTAAGGAGACTGGAAAAATAATAGTCTTATTTAGTTGTCTTCCTTTTCTCATGTATTTCTTTTTATTTTAATCAATACTATTTAATTCTATAGTACCATTTAAAAATTTCAAGTGAACCTGTGATACGATAAATATACCAAATTTCTTAAGTTTAAGAATCAAACCCAGCCCTGGCTGGTGTAGCTCAGTGGATTGAGCGCGAGCTGTGAACCAAAGTGTCGCAGGTTCAATTCCCAGTCAGGGTACATGCTTGGGTTGCAGGCCATGACCCCCAGCAACCGCACATTGATGTTTCTCTCTCTCTCTTTCTCCCTCCCTTCCCTCTCTGAAAATAAATAAATAAAATCTTTTAAAAAATCATTAAAAAAAGAATCAAACCCAAAGATAGAAATATCTAAAATGAGAAAACAATAGGGATTAACAATTTGTCTTCTTCCCTTATTGGATTAAAGGCAAATTCGAGACTTGAGAAATGTATTGTGAAGAATATGTATGTATATTATTTTATTTTCCAACCTTGAATACTGTGATGAACAAATATTTTACTGAGTTATCCTTTGTTTGAAACACATACTATATATAAATAGTGTGTGTTTTTTAAGTTCTTACAGTGTAGCTATGCACATAAAATGTTCCATAAAAATACAAGGCAGGATACCTTCAGTGCCATTATGAAGGTCCACCAATTCAATAAAGAATCCATGCTGTCTGAGTCAAATATAAAGATGTAGGAGTAGAGTTTGAGAGTAAAGGATTGTTACTGAGTAGACAGATACAAAAGTTTTAAGGCCAAAGTTGAGAAGAAGGGAAGTTGTATGAGACTGGAGTTTGCATAGACAAAATATTCTTCCATAATTTATCCTATCAATACAAGAAAGCAACCATTTGACAAGATAGAATAATACTTTAGGACAGGACTATAGCTTGTTGTAGCACTATCTCTCCTGTATTTGGCTTTCCATATATTCTACCTGTGCTTAAAGCCTGCTCTGACAGCAAAAACAAGTTTGCTTGGGTTACTTCTGTTTACTTCCTATAGATATATCGTTTTCTCCAAGATACTAGTACAAAGAAGATTATATCTAAGTTTTGAATCAATGCTGCATCTTCACTGCTTCTTTCTTTTGCCTTCCTCCTCCCCTCCCTCCCTCCCCCTCCCTCCCCCTCCCTCCCCTCCCCTCCCCTCCCCTCCCCCTCCCCCTCCCCCTCCCCCTCCCCTCCCCCTCCCCCTCCCCCTCCCCCTCCCTCCCCATCTTCTCTTCTCTTCTCTTCTCTTCTCTTCTCTTCTCTTCTCTTCTCTTCTCTTCTCTTCTCTTCTCTTCTCTTCTCTTCTCTTCTCTTCTCTTCTCTTGGATTTGTCTTTACAGGAATGCCAGATTCAGAACTGCACTTATAAAGAACTAGGCACTGTTTAAAGGTCAGGGAATTCTTGACTCTGAGACCTATAATGTAATTGGGAGTTCATAAACAGTGGGGGTAATTTGAGTCTCTCTAAGGTATTCCTGTATGATCAAAATGTGTGGTCTCTGAAGCCATACAGATTTGAATGGAAATCCTGGCTTCAAATATTATTGGTTGCATGACCTTGGAAAAATTACTTCAGTTCTCATAGACTTGGTTTTCTTATCTGTATAATGTAAATAACATTGTCTTAAAATACAGATCTAAGGAGGAATAATATAGAAAATAACTGACACAGTGCCTTACACATATGTGAGCCAAAATGATTATGTTTATTATTTCAGTTTTAACAATCTTTGAATTTTCCCCTTCTTCTCTTTTTTCCCTTTAAAATACCTATAACATAATTTCATAAAATATCTATTTTCAATTTCATCACCCAAGTTAAACAATGTTTTCTCTCATGTCCAGAATGTTATAATAGTCTGTTAACTGGTCATTCAAATACTTGCCTTGTTTTTACTCTCTCTTCTCATTTATCCCATGATTTAGTATTTAAAGGATATGGCTTCTTATTTTGATAGTTGAAAGAAAAGGAAGGGGAGCGGGGGAGGAAGAAGAGAAGAAGAAGAAGAAGGAGAGAAATAAAGAGGCATAATACCCACTGCAAAACCCAAATTTTTTACTCTGGCCTTTAAAAGGCCCTTTTGTCCATGGAGTAGTTTAAGGTCATTCGATCACTTTTTAAAAAATATAGTGTTGGGAACCACCCTGCCTGGTTTCAGAAGCTGTAATCCCCTGTAGCTAAAGTGAGTAAAAAGACCTTGGGACCATAAGCCACTAAAGAGACAAAGCTCATCTCCCTGGCAGGGGCACCACCTCTGTCCTCTTTTACTTCACCCTGCTTGGCCCAGGGGGATGACTGGTTAGCCAATGATGGGTAAGATTCCTCAAGGGGAGAATGACCTAAGACAGGCATGGTCACGAAGGGACCCTCAGGGAAGGACTTGGGGGGCTACAGAAAAAGGGGGTGATGGACCCTCGCCCCTTGGCTTTGACATAGCCTGAGTCCTCATTCTGTCTGTGAGAAGTCTCCTAATCTCTTGGCTGCTCACATCCTGCAACTGACTTAAGCCTGAAACAATGACAGAGGTGGGTGCAGCCCTGTGCTGGAAGGGAAAGGTTCCCTGGGGCCATCAGGCCTAAGAAAGAATGCATAAAATCCTGTGAAACCTGCTTTGCTAAGAATACCTTCAATTTAAATGATAAGGGTCCAAGCATAGAAAGAGTTTGTTTCCCCAAAGTTTTATGGCCCTTTAGGTAACTGACCAAGACTCAGAAGAAGCCAGTCATAGTTCTTTGAATGTTATCTATTGTTTGGTCCTTGCTGCTTGACAATGATTGATGGGCTTTACCTGTATTCCTGTGCAAACTGAACCCAGTAAAAGCCCATTTGAAGAAAAGGCTCCTGGCCCTTCTCTTTTGAGAGATTGGCCCCCTTTCCTCCCGAAGTAGATCATGTCTTGGTAGACTTATTCTCATTTGTGGCTGATGGCAGGGAGGGGGCACTGTGGGGGCAGAGCCCCCCACAATATAGTACGATGAACCCAACTATATGGCAAGGTGCTTTAATTTTAATCTTGAGTTATCTTTTGTCACCTGGGAGTCTAGAAATATCTTTTTTTGGTAGTTGCTCTTTCCATGTTCAGTGAGGGTATCACAACTCTTCCAGTTCTTCAGAGACTGTTCAAATCTTAGCTTCTATAATGAGTCCTCTTTGACTTCTTTAAGCCGCTTTGTAAGAAACAGATTACCTATTTTGCACCAGGCCCTTAACAGAGTTTTTATAAGATGCTCCAAAGTAGTTATTTTTAATCTCACTATTAAAAAGGACACTGAAACACCAAGTAATACAAAATTTGCACCAGATTATACATCTAGTGACTGGTCAGATCAGCTCAGATCATGTGACTGGCAGGTACAACTGACTTCAAAATCCATGACATTTCTACTGCTTAGTTAAATGCCATCTTGAGTCAGAGAATAAAGACAATGACACTTGCTAAGTGACCTGGGGCAAGTCACTTTTCTCCTTGTAGTTGTATTTTATTATCCTGGAAATGTGTTTTTTTTTTCTTCTTCAGCAAGGTGATACATGCGCAGTTTCATCTGTTGTTGAAACATATTTTTGTTAGCAGCATTTTTAAATGTACAGTATATTTAATGAAATTATTTCACACAAAATAAAAAATAATCATTTAGCAAAATAAATGAGGATAGGAATAGCATTCACATACCTCTGAACCACTGAACATAGATAGCTATTTCCATAGATCTTGGAAATATTCTAGACGTCACCTAATCCATTTCATAGATGAAGAGTTTGTGGCTGAAGCCTTTGAGACATGTGTCTGGGCCAAAGGGAGGGGGAAAGTTCGTGGCTAAGCTGAAAGTCTTATTCTTATTTCCATTTGAATGATGTGCCTTCATTTCGCTATGAGGACAGTTGATTTCCTGGAGGGACCATCAGGAGAGTCCCAGCACAGGCTGGTGGGGTGGGCTGCCTGCGGCAGACCCTTGGCCCAGAAGTCTCCGCAGAGCCTGCTTCATTGCCTTGTTCCGCAGAGTGTAAATGAAAGGGTTGAGCGCTGGTGTGACTATTGTGTAGAAGACCGCTGGGGCACCGGCTCCTGCCCCGCTGGAGCGAGGCTGCAGGTAGATGCAGACAGGCGGTATGTAGTACAGACACACCACCGTGAGGTGGGAAGTGCAGGTGGAGAAGGCACGCTGTCGGCCCTCGGGGCTGCGGATCTGCAGCACCGCCACAGCGATGAAGCCGTAGGAAAAGATGATGATGATCAGGCAAGCTACTGCCACGATACCAATGCTGGCAAGCATGGCAAGCTCATTGATGGCTGTGTCTGCACAGGCCAGCTTCAGCACAGGCGGGATGTCACAGAAGAAGTAAGCAACATGATTAGGGCCACAGTAGAGCAACCGGAAGGTGAGGGAGGTATGGATGGCAGAGTGCACAGCACCGAGGGCCCAAGTGACTCCAGCCAGCCCTGTACACGTCCGCCTGTCCATGGCAACTGGGTAGTGCAGGGGTTGGCAGATAGCTAGGTAGCGGTCATAGGCCATGACTGTGTACAGGAAACACTCAGTACTGGCTAGGAAGTGGAAGCAGTAAAGCTGCACCGCACAGCTCTGGAGGGAGATCACCTTTCCATCCAGCGACAGGAGGCCAGCCATGACCTTGGGCACTGTCACTGTAGACAAACTTGCGTCCAAGAAGGAGAGGTGTCCCAGGAAGTGGTACATAGGGGAGGAGAGATGAGGGTCAGAGGCCACAGTTATGAGAATGAGAAGATTCCCAGTCAAGGTGATGGTGTAGATGAGGAGGAAAAGGAGGAAGAAGAAGCTGGGGTGTTCAGCTGTGTACATCAGACCCTCCAGGAAGAAGTGGCTTACCACAGTCTGGTTGGAGTCTTCTGTCGCCATGACTGTCACACACCCAGAGCAGCCAGTTCTTCCCTCTGGAACAACAGTGACATCAGCAGACATAGTAAATAGCCATTGCCATGTCCTGAAATGCCATTAGCTGTTAGATTGTGCCATCTCGGTCTTGTCCATAAATGAAACATATGTAAGTTCAATTCACATTGAGGCCTGTTCCAATGTTTTCTTGCTGCTCTTTCAAAGTGAATCTTTCAATGTGGGACCCACAATCTTTTGGAGACACGCAAAAGACTGTAAAGATTATTTGGAGAAATGAAATTCCTAAATGATGGCCATACAAATGTGGATTAAATCCTGCTCACATGGAGCATATCTATTTTGCAAATATTCCAGAATTGTATGACTCTGCTGTCCTAATTCCTTCTGTCATACTGAAGATGTGGATAAGCAAGTGCATATTGCCATGTGTCATCAGGAGTTACATGCCATCATCTGGGGAGAATTGCCCAGAGTTTAGGTGCCATTACGTCAGCCAGGAGCACAGCAGTCCCATCCACCTTTCACCCAGAGGGAGTTTTTTGGGATTGCAGCAGCCCAAAACCAACTCTCAGGTGTATGATGATGAAGCCCGAGAGATTTGACTGAATAACTATCAGGACAAATTATTCAGTACCTTTCATACTCTTCCTGCAAAGCTTTACTCCAAACCTTTTGGGAAATTTTTCCCTATGCCTTTATTCTTGAGCGTGAATCAATAATTAAAAGTTTTCTTTAACTCTTTTCATCCTTCACCTCCTGAACCTAATTAGAGGTTGCATTAGGTGAATTTTTTTTCTCAAGATTTTATTTATCCATTTTTAGAGAGGGAAGGGAGGGAGATAGAGAGAGAGAGAGAACATCAATGTGTGGTGGCTGGGGGTCATGGCCTGCAGCTCAGGCATGTACCCTGACTGGAAATCGAACCTGTGACACTTTGGTTTGCAGCTCGCACTCAATCCACTGAGCTACACCAGCCAGGGCAGGTGAATTTTTAAAAACTGCTAATTTATGTTTTATCTTCAATTCCCATGAATTTTGCTTAACCCTGCCTCTGCATATTTTATAACTAGATTTTCACAGTGGTGTTTTATGTCCATCACTCATGTGCTTTTTTAATATGTCAAATGATTCTGTATTCAGTTTCTTTGTCAGTTTCCTTAAAACAACATGTTTAATTTATCTCTCCTCTTTACTGTTCCCCACTACCTAAGGCATAAATTGTCTGATAGATAAAATTATGTGTATACTGCTTCTATTATTATCACAAAATTTTTATCTTTCTGAAGAAACTCCTCTTATCTAGGATGTTGTTTGATCTCAGTTTGCCATAATCTCTCTCTGACTCCATTTTTGGAAAGGAATGGATTCCTTTACTCTACCATCATACATCTGCTCTCTATGGTTAAGTTTGAACATTAATTTCTTTACACGCCCTTTATAAATGTTTTACCTCACAGTGATTTTTTCCTTCCTGAAACTTATGGTATATATCGTAATTATGATAACTATCTTAGCATGTGCTACCCTGGACAACTTAGTGTTCCTTGTGCATTTTTCTTGACTTCCTAAGAGGAACACAGGGAAAATATCAAATGATTCCCCTAGTTTCCTATCAATTTTTGGGATGGAGCAGTAGAAATCACAAGGGGTCACATTTATTTGGATTCATATAAACATAAGTTTAAATCTATGGTCAACTACTTAATAGCTGAAAGAGAGGGACCATGGTGCTGAATTTCTCTTTTCCTCCAAGTCATCAAATTTAAAATGAGGATATCATTATTTGTAATAGCTATTGTTTTATTTCAGATAGAGCAGGACACATATCATGTAACCTTAAATTTCTTAATATTATTATTTTATTCAATGCAGTGATATTTTCTATGATGCCTCAGACAAAATAATAAATACCTTTTGCTTAAACAAATGCAGTAATCTCTGTTTCACAAGAAAGTTCATTCCAATGTTGGGTCAATATATTATAAAGTCCTTTACATCAGCTGTATACACAGGGTATATTAACCAAAAACAAGACACTCTTGGTAGGTATATACTAAGTTACTTGAATAAAAGACTGGGCATATCTTCTTTTGAGGTAGCAAGATTGAATCAAATGTGGATGATAACTATTTTAAGAATAACTTATAAATTTACTATAAGTTTAATTAAGATGCTAGCATATTTACTGATTGTTTACTACTTGGCAAAATATTTGAAAACTAACAAATAAAAATGAGAAAATAGGTGGAAATTATCTGAACATGACATGAATATATAAGTGTAAGTAAGTAGTCCTACTGGGTATTTAAGAGTATTTTAAAGCTTCAGCTATTTAATAGAATGTGTATATTATGTATAAGAGGGGACCTCAAAAACCTGGGGTTTATTTTTTTTTAAATTGTGTATTTATTCTTACATGTTTAAACTTCAGTCACTGTCAAGGTACTCTTCATTTGGTGCAATACACCTATTAAGATATTTTTCACACTGCTCAAAACAGTTTTTGAACTCATCAATTTTGATGCATTTTAGTGTTTGCTGTTTTTTTGTTTCACCTCTTCCACATTGGCAAAACAGTTCCCTTTGAAGACTTTCTATCCAGAGAAACAAACAAACAAACAAACAAACAAAAACCCCCATGTTTCACAGGGAAAGACAGGGTGGACAGGGAGGGTGGGACCTGGGGGTCATGTTGTTTTTGGTCCAAAACTTCTGAACACTCAGTGCAGTGTAGGCAGGTGTGCTTGTAAATCATCCTTCATGAAATGGACAAATGTGTTGAGTCTTCAAAAAAATTTGCTCCTTCCTCCTCTGCCTTGTACCTCTGACTGATGCTGATGCTTTCCCATGTGGCTCCTATTTCAAAAACGACTCAAGATGGAGGAGGAATAAGTGAAAGCTACACCAACTTCCTACCAGGACCAATCTGGAATTACAACTAAATTGTAGAGAAATCATCCTGAATAACCAATGGAACACTAGCTGGAAAGAAGCTTTATAACCAAGGACAGATACCAGAAACCACTTCACCACAGTGAGTCTGGTAGGGAGTGCAGAGAAGACATGAGAGAGCAAGATGGGCTCCTATGGGTGGCAGCTGAAGTGCTGGGGTTTTATTTCAGGGGTTGGGGATTCCCCTGAGAAGTGTGGGGTCTAAACCCCAAGCTGAGCTCCCCAGCCTACAGCACCAAAGCCAGAGAGGAGCCCAGATAACACCCAGCTCTGAAAAGCAGCAGGGTTTCTATCTGCCTGGAAGAGATGGCTGGAGACTCAGAGAGCCTCTCAAAGGGCCAATGCATAAAATTTTGTTTGCAGTCACCATGGGCTCTGGCAGAGGGAAGACAGAGTAACCTAGAGATGCTTCTTGAGGAGAGTCTGGGGTTGGTGGCTGTGGGGAGAGAACTGAATGAATAGCTGTCAGGATTCTTGTGCTGAGTCATTCCCCATACTGCAGGAGCCATCTCTCTCAGGCAGAGCACTCCTCTCTGAATTGCGTCAGCCTGAGGGGAAGCAATAACCACACCTACAGGAATTACTCTGCTGCCTGGCTAGTGATTACAGCTGGATTAATTTTAAGAGTTGATCAGCTTAACAATTGATTAGTTTAACAACTAAGGTGGAAAATGCAAAGAAGCAGCCACCAAATGAAAGAACAAGAGAATTCTCCAGAAGAATAACTAGATGAAATGGAAGCAAGCAATTTATCAGATAGAGAGTTTAGAGTAATCATTTATAAGGATACTCAACAGCATGAAAAAAGACATAGAAACCATAAAAAAGGACCAGTCAGAAATAAAGAATGCAATATCTGAAATAAATAATACACTGGAAGGAATAAACAGTAGGTTAGATGAAGGACAGGATCAAATCAGTGTTTTGGAAGACAAGGTAGAAAAAAAAACACCCAGACAGAGAAGCATAAAGAAAGAAGAATTTAAAAAAATGAGGAGAGCATAAGAAACATTTTGGACAACATGAAGCATAACAGCATCTGCATCATGGGAATAATAGAAGGTAAAGAGAGTGAGCAAGGGATCAAGAACGTATCTGAAGAAATAATGACTGGAAATGTCCCTAATATGGTGAAGGAAAAAGACACACAAGTCCAGGAAACTAAGAGTGTCCCGAACAAGTTGAACTCAAAGAGACCTACACCAAGACATGGTAGCATAATTAAAATGACAAGGCTTAAAGACGAGAGAATCCTAAAAGTCACAAGAGAAAAGCAGGTAGTTACCCACAAGGGAGCACCAATCAGACTGACATCTGATTACTCAACAGAAACATTTCAGGCCAGAAGGGAGTGGTGTGAAATACTCAAGGTGATGTAAAACAAGGACCTACAATGAAGGCTGCTTTACCCAGCAAGTCTATCTTTTAAAATTAAAGGAGAAATAAGGAACTTCCCAGACAAGAAAAAACTAAAAGAGTTTCTTAACTAACACCAAACAAGTACTGTAACAAATATTAAAGGGCTTGCTTTAATAATAAGAAGAAGAAGAAAAAGAGAAAGAAAACAGAGGAAAACAGTCTAACAATAAAATGGCACTACATATGTATCTATCTATAATCACCTTAAATGTAAATGGCTGAAATGCTCCAACCAAAAGACAGATGGTAGCTGAATAGATAAGAAAACAAGACCCATATATATGCTGCCTCCAAAGACCAATCTTAGATAGAAAGATATATACAGACTAAAAGTAAAGGTATGGAAAAGATATTTCATGCAAATGGAAAAGAGAAAAAAAGCTGGGGTAGCAGTACTAATTCCAACAAAATAGACTTTAAAACTAAGGCTATAGTAAGAGACATAGGACACTACATAATAAATGGAACAATCCAACAAGAGGCTATAACCCCAGTAAACCTTTATGCACCTAACATAGGAGCACCTAAGTATGTAAAGCAAATCTTGATAGATATAAAGGGAGACATTGACAGAAATACAGTCATAGTTGGGAATTTTAGCACTCATTTGATTTTAATAGATAAATCTTCCA